ACTTAATGTTATTGAAGTCGAGGAAGTGGCTACCGCTGGTCTGAAACCCATAATGTTGGCGTATCATTTGCCATATGGACGCCAGAGAAACTGACCCTTTAATGATTGAGTTTCTGGCAATAACTGGGCAATAGTTAGCAATTTGGCCAAGCATCAATTGCACAATACTATCTTTCTGGACAGCAGTGAGGCGGCTTGCTGCTGCTACATCATCGCCATCGTCATTAAACCCTCTATGGGGGTTTGCTCTTGTTTTTTTGAGCCATACAGATTCCAGAAATGATGCAAACTTGTTGTCTAACGATAGCGTGTACAATAAATTATTACGCCAGGCCTCAAATGACGTGATTGTCTCTGAACGTGTGAGGCACCACTGCTTGGGTGCGCGGGTAGCCGCCATCGATGTGGTAGATCTCAACGTGTTTGTTGTACGTACTACAGTAAACTCACCGGCCTGAGATCCAGGAGGGTGTAATAGAGGTAAATGTTCGCTTACAGTGTGGATTCGTCTTGTAGAAAGACGCTGCCACCACGCCAGTAGGCTAGATTCGACTTAAATGAAATTACACACACGGTAGTCTACAGTTATAACGTTTATTCAGCAAGAACCAAACACATGTGTATATCGACCAACAATGGCTGACTCCGGTGCCCCGGGAGAGGGCGCACTATTGTTTACCATTGAATAACAACCCTGGCGCTCTTGATGATGTACAGTAAGTGTAACTGATTGGCTTACAGTAAACCTTTGAACTAGCATAATATAACCACATTTAAACTCCATCTAATTTAACGAAAACAATAATATACAAAATTAGGCCATTTTAAAAAATGAATTTCTATGAAGTAATTACAGAATTTACAGTACACTGTAGTTAATGTGTTATAGATTGTAAAAATATCTTTCGAATAAAAAATTCTTTTGCTTAACATAGACGTTTCATTTGTGAAACAAAATGATAGGCTACGTCAAGTGTCATATTGAACAGTGTTGGATTCAAGGGGAGCCCAGTAAACACGGGCCCCCAACCTAATTTTTTCAAAATTATAAAAAAAAAATTGAGAAAACAGAAAAATTGTATAATCGTTTGCGTAAGACCCTCTTTGGTCACCTCTATTTTGATACTGTAATGGACCCGCCACAGTTGAAGTATCATTTCCGAGCTACTATAGAAGGGCAAATTTTATCCAATGGATGAAAAGTGAAGGCTTCGTCAGGGAATACCCATATCAAGGATACCCCCCCCCACCACTGTGCCATAAATCACATACAGTATTTTCTTACCTCAGTCCCAACCATGGTGGGGCTGAGGTAATATAGATCCTCTATCTGTGAAAGTACCCCCCTGGGCCCCCTCTATTTCTGGATTCCTGGATCCACCACTTGCAATAACAATTATGTACTTGCATATTACAGTAGCTTGATGCCTATAAAATAACTAAAATTCACCAAACTTCATGAAATATCCGTAAATTCCAGGGGACCCCACCAAGGGCCCCTGGCAGCCCCCTAACCCCAGCATAGATGCTCGCTTAGCTCGCGTTCTGGAGCTTGTGAAATGGCTCCACTCACTTTCAAAAATGTTCTGCCGCCATTGTTCACAGGCACTGCTTATGATAAGTAAACTGCTACTTCCTATTTTCATGAGACTTATATTGTAAAATTATGGCGAATAAAGTGATGTATGTCTATTTCTAACTTGTTCGAATGTGCCTATACATTATTATTATTCTTATAATATAAATCCCACTTTTCATTAAAGCAACACAATGCGTAATTCATTAATAGCTGCCACAACGAAAGAAAAGGCATTCGTGTTTTGCTTCCACGACTACGCAAGCCTCAATCGAGCTTACAGCCAGGCTAGGCCCGAAACAATAAAATGACTCATACTGTATATTGCCACAAAATATTTAGGGCTGTAATAACAACAGGTGTATTTCTGAACAATACACAATAAAGTTTGCATAAACATGTTTCCAATTTAAAGAGCTTAAAAATATACATCAAATACAAACCCGTCCATCATCACCATCGCCATGTTTATCGCAAAAAACGAGGATTATAAATTACGCCCTCTAACAATTACCTCATGTAATGTCAACATTAGTGACATCACAACATCGTCTGTTCATATGAAACGACAACACACTGTAAATGGACAGGCATGATATTTACATGAAAAAATAGAATACATAGGATTGGCAAAAACTTTGTGTACAACCAAGGCATAGAATGTTTTGGGAAAAGGAAAATATAATCACTTGGCTTTCAAAAGAATTACGCATTTAAAACACAACAAAAATGCCCCAAAAGGGTGCTAGTCTATTGTTATTACTGTACTGTCTTCGTGATTATGCTAGCTATAAAAATGGCCAGGTATAGTGCTCCTTTAATTTTTTTAAGCTTTAATTTTTTTTTATATATATATTTCTGTATCATAGATATTTCTCCATTGCATAAAGTTTTTTCAAATTTTAAAAGAACTTTTGTTCTTTTCTTTACTAAAGCATTAAAAAAATGTTACATTAAATCACAGAAAAACTGTAGCATATTTTATGGAGTACAAGTGGGTACTTACACTCCAGGTAATATTTTTTGTATAAAAAATTAAGCCTGACAAAATGGCCGGATATTACACTCTGCTAGTGCCAATCTACCTATGTCTAAGGCATAACTAAATATAGCCTAAATGAAAAAAAAGAGAAAAAGACTGTGTGAAATGAATTTTACATTGTAAAATAATACAATACCAGCAAATACAAATAGAATAAATATTTCTAACTGTATTCATATTTACAATTATTGCTAACCCAGATGTCACATGACGCTTACTGCAGTACAAATTACCTCCACAGAGGCTGGAACCGGGTGCCTTACAAAGTTTTTTGTTATTTGCGGTGTACAAACTTATCCATGAGAATGACATAACAGAACATTACAAGAGAAGATTTATTACATGATTTTGCTCTGCAAAATTTGTAAAAAAATATTTATATTGTCATGTCATGTCATGTTAAGTTTTTTGTATTGGGCCCCGTTGAAAATAAGTTAATACACAATACAGATACGCGCAGTGTTGAAGAATACTAACTGGGTCTAGTGTAACTTTTTCTGGTTCCATACTGTAGGTTTAAATGTTTTATGTAATTCCATCTATTGTACCACTTAATGTTGAAACCGAATAAAATCAATCAATACTGTACTGGAATTGACATCACACAAACAACGTTCTTAAAATAGATAAAATATTTCTCCTCCCCGGAAATTTTTCCATGTAACATAATACCCCCGATCTTTTGCACCCTCCCACCAGGACAATTTCCACTCCCCAGACTTTTCCCCATGCATTAAATGAAACAAGAATTTAAATACAAGGAATACATCAAGATGAAAAAAAGACTTACTATGTTGGTTAGATTTTGATCAACTGTAGGTTTCCAAGTCACATTGTTTAATTGTTTCATACGTGTCCACAACTCTTACACACTCAGCATATTGATTTTTGTCTGAAAATGGTAAAATGGTGTACTGTATTGATTATAATTATATTCAAGATTATAATTATATACAAGTGTGATTTGCAGAAATTTGCATATCAATGCAGCACCTACGTTGGTGTACACAATTGGTTAATTTCATAACATACGGGTCTTTTCTATGACTCACTAAACTAGGCAAGATTCGTAGAGGGAGCTGTTTCCAGGGAACAGTTAAATTTTACAGGCTCCATACAATCAATAGATGCAAGGTATGCACTGCTTACCCAAGTAAAGCATTTTGCCATTTACACATTTTACCTTGTAAATTTGATGTAATTTATAGTTATATGCATACCTTATAATTGCTTATAATGGTTGAATTTGCTGATGTTCCATGAATGATAATGAAACACTTGAAAAGCTACAAGTACAAATGGTCCATTTCTGGCTTAAAACCCCATGATACACTCCTCAAGAGCCCTTTATGGAGATCTTGGATGGGTCCTCCACTCAAAACTATACGAGATTGCAAGACAAACTTGCTTAATCACAAGATCATCATGGAAAACTACAGATGGCCAAATGTTGTACTGCATTCCATATTAAAACTCAATTGTGATTTTGATCAACTTAAATTTAAGTTCCTTAGTTGCTGCATTGATGCACCTGCAAATGTAGATTTTTATAATATGTGTTTCATACTATCAATTATACTTTTAATCCTTTTTCTGTAAGTTATGTCAAATGTTATGTGTCAGAATTAATCAATCAATCAATCTTTATTTTCCATCATGAATAAAAAAAAAAAAAATAAGATGGAGGAAATACAACAAAGGCAAGGCTGTGTTGTATTACCTTAACAAAAAGACAATCATTTACAATATTAAAAAACATAAAAAATACACATTAATCTAAACAAATTATATTGAAGCAGATACACAGACCCACCCACCCCTATGAAATACATGTAGCCAAAATGAACAAGTAATCATTTATTAAGTCAGAGTATTGCCATAAAGTTAACTTGCATTAAGAGATTGGATGTGCTTAGAAATCTGTGTTTTAAAATGATTGACACTATGAGAGTTTTTCACTATTTCTGGCAAATTATTCCAAAATTTAGGTCCAGTTGAAAAAACAGATTCAATCTTATGAATATCTAGTCGATAATTATTTTTATTTCTAGTATTGTATAGTTGTACCCATGAATACTTTTGAATCATAAATCAGAGTGGTCAAATAATGTAAGTCAAAAATCTACACACAAAATATACAAAACTGAAAAAATACCCAAAATTAGAAAAATATTTACTTGAAAAAATAAATTTTAATGATTTAAGCTTGAAGTTTAAAATTTGATCTAATAATATGCTACCTCTTGACTGTAAATCTTCAAAATGGTCTAAAGATGTTTTCAGGTCTGCACACTATGTAAAAACGGTGAGCTTGAAGATGTTAAACACTTTTTGCTTAATTAGCTCTTCATAGTATCAGAAAAGAAGAGCGAATGAAAGACCTTTCACTCTGTAATGATCCCGAAACATGGACAACTTTTATAACATGATAAATTACAACTCATTCTAGGTGGAAATTCTATTCCCATTTGTGTCCACTCTGCCAAAGTCATTGGTACAAGTATGCTGTAGATATATTCATATGCATGCAGTATATTTCTTTTCCATTTGATTTCCTTTTTATATATATATATATATATATATATATATATTTGGCT